TTCAGGTGTTTTTCTTTCCATCTCTTGAGTGTCAATCTAGAAGTTATGCCTATTGACACGTCATTCATAAAAATGACTTATTTATTTTCTTCTGTGTGTCACAGAAGGGTATCCACGAGTGGAACTTCAGTGCTGCTTCCATCAGGGGAGTAAGGTAAGTTGTTTCCCTTTCATGTTTTGAAATAAAGAGAGTAAGTGAATGGGTATTGTCTAAAGCTGCTGCTTGTGGACCTTGGTGGAGTAACAGACACAGAGTTGGAGCAGAGTATTTGCAGGCACTTCCACAAGTCTTAATTTGGATTCAGAAATGACCACTTGCAGAGTTCATAAAAATTAGCCAACCTAGCCCATTGAATTAAAGAGCTAATATTTTTTAAAAGTAGGTAGCCACTTACATTATCCTAATTAAGGTGGAATTAAAATAGCTGCCAATGTCATTTTGCCCAGTTCTGTCCCAGTGAGGAGCTGCCTGGTGCACAGAATGTGTAAGCCAGGAAATAACATGTAGATGCAGATGGGAGGTTATGAAGAACTGACAGGATCAGGGTGTCTTGCAATGTCCTGATTGCTTACCTGTTTTGGGGTTTTGGTGTGAGTGGGTACGTTTGGTGGTTTTTTTTTTTTCTGTGTCTGTTTATGGTAAATGACAGCAAAACTGTTTCAGAGAGGGCCAGTAAGGAGAGTGGTAGATACACCACAAGGTAGAAACTTGAAGGTTGTTTAAGAGAACAGAAAAGGGGAATCAAAACAAGGAAAAAAACAACCCCTAACCTCCCAAAGATTCATGTGAAGTAGGTTAAGGTAGATTAATAAATCATAGGAACAGGAATGACACGTTCAGGACTGGCTTGACTGGATTAGAAGAGAACCATGTTACACGCTCAGGGCCACCTCTCTTCTCTTCAGCACACCTCCCTCTGCAGGACAGGGCTCATGAGATAATGGCAAAGGAGGGAACTTTGCCATCTGTTTGCTTAATTTCAGCAAGATGTTGTCTGTCTGCTGGGGAGACTTCTCTAGGGAGACTTCTTTACTGGATTGTCTCTTAGTGCCAGTAGAGAACAGCCAAATCTGAGCCAGCGGGTCCGCTCTGCCACCCCAGGCTCAACATAATGTGTGATGTACATCCTCTTCAGCAGGTTCCAGCCTTGCAATTTGTATCTTCTGATATTAAAAAAGTCATGCTCTACCAGTGCTGTGACCTCTTCAGCTAAATTCGTGATCTTAGTCTCTTTTTCTTTTCTTTTCCCCTAGGATTTATCTATATTTCAGCATCCTGCAACTTTTGACTTTGGTGTTTGCTTTTAGTGTAATTATAAAAAAAAAAAAAAAAAACCAGTCCCAAAATCTTAGAGTTTTTAAAAATACTCATTGCTCTGTTCTAATAATAACTGTTCCATCCACACAAAGCTGTTGCTATGTCTGCAGGACGTTTTGCACAGATGGATGATTCTTTCTCCTTCCAAAAAGTGACTTAAAAAACCAAACTATCAGTAGGCACAAGAACTCAGTCCTGTGGGATTCAGCTTATTTTAGGCAAAAATTGCAATGATACGCTTAGTTTAGTCTGGTTTGGGTTTTGGTTACGGTATGTTTTTGTATGCTTCTAAAAAAAGAGGAAAAAAAGTCTTTATTTATTGTCATTTTTATTTCTTCCCCTCTCTCTTATTAAATCGTGCTGTGGTCAGAACTCTTTCTCCTGCGTTTCTTATTTAAACTGCCAATTGTCATTTAATTTGGCAATTAAATTTCCAATCTGGACAGATGTCCAAAGCCACTTGGAAGATTTTACAGTGAGCCAAGAGTCACTGTGAATTCTTAGAAAACTCCCTGGCTGCCTCCATGAGGAGCTGCAGGGGGAAATCTTTATCTTATGCAAGTCTAAAACTGAATAAGCCTCTTTTTTCTTCTTCTTCCTAATATATACAAGTTTCTGATCACTTAATTTTTCAGGGTTTTTCAGGGCTTTTTTTTTTTTCTAGTTTTATGAAGACAGATATTCTTTGGACTGGGAGAGCCTTCAGAGCCAGGCCTGCTCCTAATCTATTTTTATATTAAGGCTATTTTTGTCTCCTTTGAAGCTCCTAGACTTAAAGCGGTCTGGGAAGGAGGAGTTCCCAGCTTTATGAGGATTCTCAGCCTTTCTACACTAGTAAGAGCCAGCTTTAGAAATGCAGCCTCAATGCACAAGGCAGGTCTTTGTTGAGAAAGCCTCCAAGATCATGTATAAAGGCCTCCATAAATATTTACTGCATTACACAAGGAGACAGCAGGTCTGAAGAGACATCTAGCATTGAAATGGCTGGTGGTTTTGGTAAATACCTCCAGGATGTGACTGAGGGGTCACTTCAGTGGATGGATCAGATGGTGTAGTCAGCATCTCATTTTGTGAATAATAGTTCGGGTCTCAAGAATCACAGAATCACAGAATGATATGGGGTTGGAAGGGACCTCTGGAGATCATTTGGTCCTACCCCCCTGCTAGAGCAGGGTCACCCAGAGCAGGTTGCACAGGAACGTGTCCAGGTGGGTTTGAATGTCTCCAGAGATGGAGACTCCACCACCTCTCTGGGCAGCCTCTTCCAGGGCTCTGCCACCCTCACAGGAAAGACGTTTCT